TATTGACATGCAAAAAGGTTTTTTTTAAAGGGGCATTAGCTGTCAAATTCATGTTCACCGATTTGACTCAAATTCTCATCTTTGATTTATAACATACTAAAACGTATATCCAAATAATCAAAAGTCTAAAATAAACAATTTACGATGCACGGACTCGATAATATGTATGAGCATTTCGTGTATATTTTATTCTAAATGCCATCTAATTAACCATCGAGGTGACCTCCGAAGACTGCCGATGGTCATATAACCCGATATACACATAAACATAGATTATAAATAGATAGCGAACTCGTACAATTGGATTTTCTAGGTTTGTTTGATTTCATATTTTAGGTTTTAAAAATATGTTTATTATCGTTTTACCCGTAGAAGAATGAGTTTTTGTAGATCGAATCAGTCATCCAAATGGTTTACCCTTGTTTCACTTCCTATGTTGACATTCTTTTCTTTTTAATAGCTGAACACGCCTAGTTCATGCGTAACCCATCTCGAGCTAAGGGGTTCAATTGAAGTTCACATGAATACGGATTTAATGAGGTCGAATTATTCATTTGCAAGTGAATAATTCATTAGCGATGTTTCTTTGCTTATTTCGACAAAACTGAACCAATCTGGCTGCTAAAAGCGAATAATTATATTACTATTTCACTTTTTTTAATGATTGAACAAAAAAAAATCATATTTTATCTTTGATCCTTATAATATATAATTTTGACTAGCTAAATGACATAAAGGAGCTTTAACAGAAACGCCAAAATCATAAAACTTTGAATCTAAGTGTCTTTTTGCTATGGTGTTTTTTACTTTGGGCGTTCCTGGTGCAGGTGGGTCCTATTGTGAGATTCAGACGCAAGAGGCATTTAAAGTGTTATTTCCTTTTATTTAGCCTTGTATTTATATTTCACTTAATGTGTACTTTATCGAGAAAGTATATACTATTTATGGTACGTACTGTCAAGTACAAAAATTTCCTTAATCGGCGTCTTTGTAACCTACAAACTCTTTTTTGTTGACGTCATTGTCAAATCAACTATCAACTAAAACGTTTTTGTAGGCGTCTTTGTTAGAATTATTTGTATGTTTGTTTGATTTTTTTTATTCAGTTGTGTTGTATGTCTGTGATGTATGTTTATGCAATTTTGGCTGCTGGATCCCAATTATTGTCACATTAACCTGTTATGTTTGTTTGGGTTTGTCACCCAATTTTGTCAATACAACGGAACTATAAACAACTGTCATACAAGTGGGAGGTTTAGTTAGCTATAAAACCAGGTTTAACCCATCATTTCCTCGGAAAATGCCTGTATCAAGCAATGAATATGACAGTTGTTTACCACTCGTTCCGTTGGTTGATAACGTTTGATTTTGTCAGTTTTTATGTACTTCCCCTTTTTTAATTTACTTTACAGTTCGGTATTTTTGTAATACTTTTTTAGATAATCTCCAAATCAACGGAAAATTAAAGATTTGTATGTCATAACCCATGTCATTGTCGAAGATCAGACTCCTGTGTATGGTACTCCAGCGTTATCGACCCATTGCCAGAAAAATATATAATACCAAAAATATATAAAGTAAATAATTTGCAATACCCGTACATAAAACATAATAATGTTTCATAGTGCCTTCAGATTGATTAAATGTTTAATGGTTAAATATGCCTACACCTGGTCATTTTTATATTGCACAAATGAATAAAAAATGTTTAAGCCCAAAGTGTTTCACTGGTGCGTATAAAATAAGTTCTTATCTCGTAAGAAGGAGAGGGTGATTAAGTAGAAAAATTGAAAAATCACTACAAAGAAATCAAAACACGCAGCACCATAAACCCGGCGAGGGATTTTTTTAATAAAACATGGCAATAGAGTAAAGAAAGATCTATTAATTTTCAAGGATAACAAATCTAATAGCTATGTTTTACACTATGCTTCGTGTACATACAACCATTTGTATATACCAACTATACGAAGACTATAGGTTCGTTTGGCACTCTATCCTTAGAGGAAATAGAGCAAATATGCTAAAAAAATACTTATCTTTCTCAATTGAATTGATTCACATTTTTTCATTTCGGGTCCTTTTGTAGTCGAGTTTTTACCATTATTAAAGGCCGTACGATTGCCTTTAATTGCTTACATCTACTTCATTTGAACTTTGGTGGATAGTTGTCTCATTGGCAATCCTACCACATCTCCTTATTTTTATATTATCTGTCGATTCTCTAGAATACATGTTGTTTATATGAAGATGAAAAGTTATCGCTGTATGACGTTAAGCTTAATCTAAAAGTTCAAAGTCCTTGATTGTAAAACTTCTGGGATAAATATTTTATTATGATTAGTTTAATTTTTCATGACCTTCTGCTACTTCGTTTTTTTTTCTAAACCATTTGTGCCAGTTTTATATTTAATCATTGTGTCTAGTCGTACGCGTATAAAACAAACAATTTTTCATTTACGCATACATGGTTTCATTTTTTTTTTGTGTGTAAAACTTTATCAAGTTAGGTCAACGTCCTTTCAAACCTGAATCTATCAAAAGTCCTGTCCATCAGTATTAACTTAAAGTATCAAATGTATTGAGTCTATGCTATCGGTTTTTCACATTTATCGTTTATTCCAAAAGATCCAAACTAACCTTACTAAATAAGAAAGTTAAAAACTCAGCTTACATTCTAGAGAAGCGATAGAAAACTATATTTCTGTGTTTGTAGCACATTTGCTTTTTTCTGTAAAGACTGGGTGCCACATTAACTATACTCTCAGTAATAATACATGTATGTAAAATTAAGCATAGTGTTAAACATAGCTGGCTTTTAATAGTTTAGTAGATGGAAGAAAAACATATAAATTATTACATTTAACATGATAGAAGATAAGGGGAATTGTACTGAATTGAAAATGAAAGTGGCATAATGTAACAGCGATGTATAATTCTTTAGAAGTACACAACTACAACGAAGATTTAATTACAATGTTTACATTAACCGTTTATTTTATTACTACTACTGGGTCGTTATTTCTGCAGTTGGACTGTTTTCGAGTGTATCAGCAGCCCAGTAGCAAGGACGTTGGTACTGGCATAATAGTAAAGATATTTGTTTTTACTGAAATTTGCTGGAAAAAGGTTTCGGAAATCATTTTAAATTAAAGACTGTATCTCCCTCATGTATAGTTCTGATTGCTTTCCAAGTTTGACGTTACTATTCCAGCTTGCACTTCCTATCATTATTTCCTTAGTAAAGGGTAGCTGCTTAAAGGAATCTATTAAGCCAAGAGTTCCACGTCGTGAAGTTGAAATCGTCCTTTCCAAAATTTTACGGACGCCATCACGAGTTGGTTGACCGTAATGGAATATCTTTTTCCCAGATTACGATATGTTCCAATTGTTATAAACCACAATTCCGTCCTTTTTTCCTCTAATGTGACCTACCGAACTAGACTTATCACCGGGTTTGTACGTACATGAGCATCACTACGGGAGCCACATGTGGTGCAGAATCTGCTTACCCTTTCAGAGCACATGAGATCACCCCAGGTTTTTATTTTGGGAGGGGGGGGGGGCGGTAGTGTTGCACAGTCTTTAATTTTCTATTTTGTGTTTTGTGTTCTGTTGCTTGTCTTTGGACTTTTTTCGTTTTTTGTTATGACATTCATTTTCTTTTTTCAACTTGTGAGTTTGGATATCACTATTGTATCTTTCGTCTCTCGTTTGATCCTTTTTGTTTTTATCAGCTCTTCAACTTCTGGATTTTGATTTTGATTTTCAGAAATCCTTTCTTTAGCCTTTTAGGTTACTTCATACTGAAAGTATAACTCAATAAATAAACATTTTTATTTTGTTGATGATTGCCATTTTCAATTTCATTCATACTTTAAATCGCCAAAAGGACTACAATACAACGTTTCAGATAATGTCATTTTCAAGTTAATTTTTTTCAAAATCACTTTAAATTGCATAAGAAAAATTTACTGTGTGATGATACAATTCAGCCTTTATGATTTGCCTTTCAATCACAAGGAAAATATATTAATATATAGAGGAAGTTAGTAATTTTACAATTGTATTTTAGACTAAACGGTATTTTTGAAATTCTAAAAATCTTGCTGAGATTTGACAAGACTGAATAACTCCCGCAGCACGCAGTAAAACTGGAATTTATTGTCTTCTCGGTAAAGTATTTCCAAGGCGTATAAATTTTTGGCGCCAGAAATTATAGTGGTAAATAGGTAGTTAATTGATTATTATTTCTAACCTTGCTTTCGTACTGTGTACATCAAATTTTTCTGAGTGGCAGTCTGTCAAAATGAATCCCATGGACATTGAAACTAACGTTAAGCGGATAGTTGGAGGAGAAATTCAGAAGTCTCAAAGTGACTTTTTAAGTAAACTAGATGGGATTTTCGCAGCAAGATTGCAGGCATTGGGCAACCAACAAAAAGAACGTTCAGAGGCACAGATGTGTAAACTCCAAAGTGACATTTTAACGGCGGATACCTACAAATTTCAGAAAAAGAGCTGTGAAGACCAGTTCAAATTCAACAAGAAGTTGAATGTGCCACTCAATGAAGCAGAATACTGTTTAGAACCTTTTGATGAAAAGTCCGCTCACGCTAAGCAGAGGATAAATGAAGGTGTATAACTTTTAACTCGTCGTCAAAAACTAGTGAAAATGGCAGATTGGTCTGAACATGTTTGGAGAGTAGTCTAAGAATACACTTCAAAACAACTGGCCGATGATTCAGAAGACGACAAGAAGACTATGAGTGCAACGTCGCGTGCGGAAAGAAGGGTGAAGGTAGAAAAATCAGCAGATAATGGTAACAGCAGTGGTGGCGCTAAGTCAGCCAGGAGGACAGGAGTGTGTTATAACTGTTATAAACCAGGCCATTGTCAGTTTGAATGACCAGAAAAGAATAGGAAGTTAAGTACATATAGTGATTTATTGTTCTCTAATGATGCTAATAGAAACAGCAATTTCTTAGGTGATTTCATTGATGAAAGTTTAACACTGAAAACTACTCACTTAAACGAAGCTCACTTACTGGACAACGACAACGATAGTATGTGTTTACTCAACCATGAGGAATGTGTAGATCAATTGTCTAGACATTTAAATACACCCAGTAAATTGATCACTCCTATAGGTAAACTGAGAAAAGCGATACACAAATGGAAACAAGATGGACGACTGATAATATTTCAAAGGTAATAGAAAGATGTTACAGCATATTATTTAAAAAAAATTCCAGATAACGTATTTTGGGGCAATAACAAATCTTCGAGACAAAATGGGGATTTTTGTTGAAATCGAGATTTCTAAACTATTAGAAAAGGTTGTATTTCACAGGTTGCTAATAAACCATACGTTATTAATCCGCTTACGGTAGCTTTTAATAGATCACAAAAGCCAAGATTAGTTTTAGATTGCAGACACATTAACAATTGCATATACCAATTTAAATTTAAATTTGAAGATGCATCAGTGGCAAGAGAATTATTTGAAAAGGCGGATTATCTTTTAAGATATTATTTGAAAAGTGCATAACATCATATCGAAATAAGAGAGGAGCACAAGCAATATTTAGGTTTCTGTTGGGTTTTTGACGGAGAGATTAACTATTTTGTATTCAATATTCTCTCTTTTGGTATTGGAAGTGCAGGACATATTTTACAAAAGTTGTGAAAGATGTGGTTTAGTATTGGAGAATCTATGGATTAAAGATAATTGTGTATCTTGATGACGGTTTGGTTGGAGCTTGTGATTTAGCTTTTTCTAACTCCAGCTGTTGATGAGCTTAGATTTTGGTTGAATTCAGTCAGTGATCTGAATGAGAAGGGTGTGAATCTGCATGAGTCAGTTTTATATGATCTTAAGGCTTATACAATTGCCTCCGAGATTGGTTTTGGGGAATTTGTAGTACCCGGTGTTGATAGCAATTGTGCTGAGTCGGTTGTGACTCGACCGATGTTCAGATGAACTGTAAGTCTGGTAACGCACAGTAATAGTTTGAACACTGTAGTGGGTGGGGTTGGGCAGATCATGAAAAGATAAAGAGTTCTACATGGCATGAACTCGAAGCAGTTAATAGAACAGTTAAAAGTTCTGTGTATTTTCTTAAACACTAGGCATTGCAAATCAATACAGGGAATAAAAATGTTACTATCATAGTCAAAACGGGAGTAGTAAAAGAGATCTACAAGTTTAAGCTTGTGAATTGAACACACTATGTTTTGAAAATAATTTTTACAAATACGACACAATGGACACCAAGAGACTTAGATAGATTATGGGGTATTCATACCGTTGACAGATTTGCTACAGACTAGAACACTAAATGTACAAGATTTAATTTTAAATTTTGCTTTAATTTTACAGAAGCATTAGATGCTTTTAAACAAAATAGGAAAGGCGAAAAAAATTGGGTCGTTCCTCCGCCTAATTTGGTTTGTAAAGTCATTAGAAATTTTTTGGAGCAAACGGTACTTTGTTAGATCCACTTTGGAAATCTGCACCTCATTGGGTTTTATTATGTGAATCAAACGGGAATTTTAAACGTTTTATGAGGAACAAAAAATCTTTAACAGAAGAAAATTCAGTTATTACAGGTAGAGGTAATGACGGTTTATTTGGAAAACAAGGGAAATTAACGATGATTGCTTTTAGAATAAGATTTGATTGATGTGTTTTTATATTTGGAACAGGTTTAAAAATTGAGAAGTCTGTACAGGAAGCTGTAGAGGACAATAGGATTGAAGATGGACACCCGTTACATAATTTAGTGAAGAGTTTTTCTACATGCTTACTTGATGCCAGATGTGAAAGTATTGATAAGAATATTATTACAGTTTTATTAAATGGAAAAGATTTTCTATAGAACATAGTTTGCATTCCTTGCCAGCATCTCCAATTCATGTAGCTTTATATTTTGCACATTTATTAGATAACGGTAGTACATATACTGTGAAAGTACTTTTATTCGTGGGTACCAATTTTCTTTGTTTGAGCAAAAGTTACATGTTCGTGGGTTCTTAAATTCTTGATTTGGCAAACATTGATTTATCCACAGACATGTATCTATTTCGCCCTTCGTATAAATCTAAAGATAAATGTGGTTTGAACAAGGTTAATAAGGCCTATAAGTTATACTACTGCAAGAGAATGTATGATGAAATGTGTTTGAAATTGATTGCCCCGAGCTTAATTGTGGTTTAAATTCTTTAACGTCAGGAGGTACCACTACGGCGGCTAACTCAGGTGTTAACGATAGATGTTGGAAAAGACATGGAAGGTGGAAGAGTGATTCCAGTAAAGATGGTTATGTGGCAGATTATGTTGCTTACCGACTACAAGTTTCAGCGCATTTGGTTAAAGTGTGTCCGCTGCATAGCTGTCATTTACATGTTGTTAATTCATACATTACTGTGGTTTAAACGATTATTCAGTTTTTCTTTATTCTCAATCTTTGTTGTTCTATACAAGCAACGAGCTAGTCGACACACTTGTAGTCGAGTTATTTGTTTATATAATAAGGTATAGAATAGTCTTGGTTATAAAGGATCATAAGTATAGAGAAGACTAGATAATTCCCGTGGCACGCAGTAATACAGGAATTTATTGTCTTCTCAGTAAAGTATTTCCGAGGAGTATGAATTTTTGGCGCCAATAATTATAGTGGTAAATATGTAGTTAAATGATTATTACTTCTATCCTTGCTTTCGTACTGTGTACACCAAATTTTTCTGAGTGGCAGTCTGTCAAAATGAATCCCATGGACATTGAATCTAACGTTAAGCAGATAAGTTTCGCTTAGCATTGACAAAGGACGCAGGTTTCCAAATTTGGGTTTTCCTTTTCGGCCACGAAACAGTATTTTGTGTGTTTTGGATATTGATAATTTGAGAGATGATAGCAAATAGTACTTTGTATATATGTTATGTCGTTATTGCTGTATATTGTAATAAAAGCGGCAGCTCAGAAAAGATACAAGCAGCGAGCTAGTCAACAAACTTACGTTTGTAGTTGAGTTATTTGTTTATAGAATAAGGTATAGAATATTCTTAGGTGTCAAGGTGAATAAATATAGAGAAGAAATTTAGATTTCAGTCTATGAAGATCTGTTCAGTTAATTTTCAGGTAAATCTGTATTAAATCATATTGAATAGTTAAATATAAATTACTAAGAACTATAGATAAACAAATTTGGGAGTGCTTTTTTCTGGCCAAAAAGTTCAGTTTTACAGTATGTACATAACGCAATTACCTATTTGACCTCTTGTCCTTGAAATCAATTTTGACTTTTGATTGATGATTGACATTAGTATAACATGATATTGCAAATATTTCCAATTAAGAAAAAAACTACCTTGTTACAAACATGTGGCACTTGATTTAATTAATTAAATCACAATAACAAATTCAAAATAGATTTAATTTGTATTTCTATTTTCCCCACAAGTAGAAAGCACAACTGAAAACTTCTTAAGTGATGAAAATTGACGGTATACGTCACAAAAAGAAGAAAGGCTATGTGGAATAAATTGCAGAATGTAACTTACTTTTGTTATAACGAGAATTTTTTTTTAAATGATTTCGGACTTTAAGTAAATTATAATCATAATTTCCTTCATAGTACATGATTACAACTATAGAAATTACTTATTCATTAAAACCATTTTCTTAATTATCGGATTTAACTACCATTTTAAGGTGACTTATTCACAAATACTGTAAACATGTTTACATATATGTTTCCTATTCTCTTACAATATTTGAGATTCTGCTTTCTTGTATCACAGGGCAGTGTGACATGTTTCGCATGCGAAGCAAGCCATCATATATAATGCCTGCCGCAGCAACATTTGGATAGTTCATTCAGGAGCTCCAGAATGGTTAGCAGATCTTGCTTCACATGTGACACCCGTTTATGTTTACCTCTGTTCATTTATCTGGAAATTGAATTGACCACGTTGAACTATTGATTTCTGAAAAATATTCGCATCAAGAATCATTAAATTATAATATTCAAAACACCTAATGGCTGTTTATTTGAAGGAATACATGTTTTTTGTATTACTAAAATGGATTAAATTTTCGGGAATTACCCGCTACTTCCAAAATCAGGACAGATGTATTTGACTTAAGGAACATTGCTATCAAATGACATAATGTAATTAGTAGATTCATAGCATATAATTATTGTTATGAATGACTTTTACGTCAGTTATGATTTTTGCGCAAAGGAAGGTGTGTTTATGACATGCAACCTTGACATTAACTACCGAATGGCATAGTTTTCAACTGCAGTCGAATGACTGTTCGGTATGTGCATTGCCCCACATTCATCAAACTTTTGGAAGTCGTTTATTCATATTTTAACACGTGAATGATACCTGACAAGATGAAAGCTGGTTATTAAACGAAAAAAGTTATATTGGGAAATGAACATGTTGACCATATTTATCTTACAAATAAACATAAATAAAAGGAGATATGGGTTTACCTCAACGAGGTAGTAACATAACAACAAAAACAAAAGACATCCAGATGCATTCAGTTTTACACAATAGCAGGTATCTAGACATTATTTCAACCTCTAAAACTCTAAATTTCTCTTATTAATAAAACCCTTTGTCCTGGTGAAATATTTTCGATTTCGCAAGTTTCACTTTTAAAAACATAAGCCCGCTAGCTGTATCATGTGCGTATTGACAATATTGTGTCAGGAACCTAGACTTCTTTCAACATCAGACGTTATGAAGTTTTTGTACGCTTCAGAATTGAACCAAAATGGATTGGGATGTCTAAAAAAGTGTTTATTTATTCAACAGTGACTATCAAAGAAAGATCTTTCCTGCACACAAAATAAAAGAATTTACAGACATTAAGATGTTACAAAAGACAATCACTGACGAGTTTCCTCACTTTGGACGAGGATATGCACATGTGGCGGAGTTAAACAGGTTTTTTTTCTATATTAACCACCCCCTACCAAATCTTGATTAGTGGAGTAACAAAAAGATTCATAAAAGACTTTGTTAGATTATCTATGGAACTCAGAAATTTAATATCGTTGTCATATTTCGTTAGTAATCTAAAAAAAAAACAAAAAGACATATCTTAGACACCAACGCAAATGTGGGAGAGAAAAAGTGATAAATTATATATGCTAGCATCAATTGTAGGCAAATATATTGCATGATTATTGTTGCTCTTCTTTTTATTGCTTTTTTTCATTTCATGGAGTTTTTTTTTTATTGAACCGTTGAAGGAACCATTTATTATATACTTAGTCGTAAAAACAATTAAATTGTTGGGGTGAAACACTCCATAGAAATCGTCCTCTAAAGTTATCCGTGATGACATCGATATCAGTCACGATTGCAAAGGCTTTATCAAACCCCTAATCTGTATTACGCCATGTCACGCGAAAAACGCATATTTTAGGTAAATAATTATGGTTTTCATAACTAGTGAATGTCGATGTCGATTGATAGCAACTACAGTTATTTGATATAAAAAAAATAATAATTATTATTGAAATAATTAACGAGAGTTGATTTCAAGCGATATCCATTTCTCATCCGTGTTTCTAGATATAAGAAGATGTGGTATGAGTGCCAATGAGACAACTCACCATCCAAGTCACAATTTGTAAAAGTAAACCATTATAGGTCAAAGTACGACCTTCAACACGGAGCCTTGGCTCACACCGAAAAGCAAGCTATAAAGGGCCCCAAAATGACTAGTGTAAAACCATTCAAACAGGAAAACCAACGGTCTAATCTATATAAAAAACGAGAAACGAGAAACACTTATGAACCACACGACAACCACTGAACATCTGGTTCCTGACTTAGGACAGGGCACACAAATGCAGCCGGTTTAAACGTTTTAATAGGCGCCAACCTTCACCCTACCTGAAACAATAGTGTACCATCACAACATAGAAAGACACACTATAAAATATCAATTGAAATGACTTTACTCAATCAAAAGACATATTAACAAAAACAAGTGAACATACACTGACGAATAAATTTGATCTATGACCCAATGTAAATACAAAATTAATTAAACTTATTTCTCTCTTATCTAAAAACAGACTTTGTCCTGGAGAAACATTTTCGATATCGCAAGTTTCACTTAAATAAAGGCAACAGTAGTATACCGCTATTCGAAATTCATAAATCGATTGAGAAAAAAACAAATCCGGGTAAAACTAAAACTGAGGGAAACACATCAAATATAAGAGGAGAACAACGACACAACAGAAACACAACACTAAAATGCAACACACACAGAAACGAACTATAATATAACAATGGCCATTTTCCTGACTTGGTACAGGACATTTTAAGAAAAAATGGTAGGTTGAACCTGGTTTTGTGGCTAGCCAAACCTCCCGCTTTTATGGCAATGTTAAATATAACATCAAAATGACAAGACTTCACGACTGAACTACAATACAAATAAATGGGAGAACATACAGGACAAAGACACACACAAATAATAGCTATCAAAAGGTACCAGGCTTATAATTTAATACGCCAGACGCTCGTTTCGTCTACACAAGACCCATCAGTGACGCTCAGATAAAAAAAGTTCGAAAGCCAAAACAAGTACAAAGTTGAAGAGCATTGAGGACCAAAAGTTCCAAAAAGTTGTGCCAAATACGGCTAAGGTTAAATGCCTGGGATAAGAAAATCCTTAGTATTTAGAATAATTTATACTTTTGCAAACAGTAAATTTATAAAAATGACTATATAATAGATATACATGTTAACACCGAAGTGGTGACTAACTACAGAATAAAAACGAATACATAAAACAACCTTAATCAGCACATAAAAAGGCACAGCCGAACAACGTATTATATGTTAGCCAAAGAGATCGACGCACAATGTGACGTCACATATAAATTTCTATAAATTTCCCAAAAAAAGGATAGAGTTCAAGATTAGGTTTGTAATACTGATATAACATGTATTAATAACAATGAAAATTACAACACTTATTAATATACAATTGTGGTAGTAATTATATAATTAATTGTATTATCAAGCTATGTCGGTATATCTTCTAAATCAAACTGTAAACCAAATACATCGTATAAATTTAGTTGACCCAAACTAAAATCTTATAAATGAACTGGGTGATGAATTATCTTTACCGTAACACACGAATAGAACAGAAAAAAATAAACACAAGTCATCTAACTGCATTGCGAATATTGTGTCAAAGACCCAGACTAATATAAACATCAAACATTTTGTAACTTTTAGGAATGTTTGGTCCTCAATGCTCTTCAATTTTGTACTTTATTTGGCCTTTTTAACTTTTTTGATTCGATCGTCACTGATGAGTCTTTTGTAGACGAAACGCGCTTCTGGCGTACAATTTCAATCCTGGTGTCTATAAAGATTTTTTGTTTTTGTTTTTTGCACGTTTCAAAATGTTATCAAATTTGACAAAAAAAATATTTTATGTGAAACATGTCGGAGTTTGTATATTATTGGAGAAAAAATGTTAGCAAAACGACTGAACTCCAAGGTAAATTAAAAAAACGGACAAAATTAAATGCTCGACAATATCAACCAACGGAACGAATGGAAAACAACTGTCATATTCCTGACTTGGTACAGGCTTTTTTTCGAAGGAAAATGATGGGTTAAACCTGATTGTAAAGCTAGCTAATCCTCCCACTTGTATGATAGTTTCGTCATATTGAAAAAAGTGTGTGAGCCACCCAAATAGACATAATTGGTTTACGTGACAGTTATTGGGACCCAGCAGCAAAAAATGTGTAAACATAAATCATAGATATACAATACAACTGACTTCAAATAAACATTCAAATAAATCTGACAAAAACGCCAACAAAAACTGTTTTTGAAGTTAATATTACAGCATAGTAAAATATAATGGCATATAGACTTTCTGGATAAAGTACAAATTAAAAGAAATGAAAATACGAGGGTATAACGAATGAAAACAACACTATAAAAACATCATGCTTTCGAATTGCCCAAACCAAATACCCGAAAGCTGACTGCATAAATACCGAGCCACGCCAATAATACTACAACTAAAAGGAACATAGTGACACAAAGACAAATAAAGGAAAAACGGTAAAATAAATAAAATGAGACACAATTCCAGCACCTAGAGTTTATAACTCAAGACCATCTTGTATTATTTGTGAGGTAGACTCTGAATATTTATGTATAAGGTCTTGGTACTTACCGACGAGGCCATAAGAAGTCTTGGAGAAGTCACAAATCTCCGTAGCCAAAGGGGAAATTGACCTTTGACAGTCATCAATTATCTAACACAAAAAAAAAACAATCGAAATGTTTCAATTAAGAAACTAATTTCATGAAAGGCCATCCAAATTAACGCATTTTTCGTATCACTTATTCATATCACACACTCTTTCTGTGTGATACGAGAAATATCTCTTCGTGCGGGAAATAGATAACATGCCACAACTATAAAGGAATAACGTGTAGATGATATGGATTTTTCAACATCACACCCGTATAAGCTCGAGACACCAACACGCCATGCTGGTATCAATATCCTTCGTAATTCTGGTCGCGGTTTTTTTCTTGTTGATGCTTCCCCATTATTTATTAATAAACACAATACATCTTTGTATTTGTAAACTTACTTATAATTATTTTATCATCCTTCAAATTCTTTCAAATTTCATACAGTTTTGGGAAGAAACTAAGTAAAAACTTAATAAAATGTGTTATTTACTAAAAAAAAATTGAAGTGCAAAGAATACATCTTAATACAGATCTTAATTACAATGAATTATTACTACATATACATGCAGGTCAATGCAATAATCATTATACAAAATGAAATGTTGCACGTGATTCTCGGTGTCAGTGTTTTCAATTTGCGAATGGATGGCATGTTGTTTTATAAGTTGTCCTCAATAAGTTCACTTGAATTCTACATTTTTCGTTTTGGTTGTCAAAATGTTATTGTTTTTATCTTGAAAAAAGAATTCTGAAACATATCAATAAATAAATAACGTTTTTGTTAGGTTTTGGGTTTTCAAATATTCGGTCTCTAGCATCACTTACGAGACATTAATTGTCAAAATGCACAACTGGTTCAAAATTGGTACCGTTAATGTTATTACTACCACTGTGTCGATACATCTGCTGGTGAACTGTTATTTTACGAAGGTATCGTCAGCCTAGTAAACAGTACTTCGGTACTGTCATGAAAATACGAATATTGTGTAAGAAAGAAATTTGCTGTTAAAATTTGGGAAAGCATTTTTAAGTAAGGAATATACATCTCCCTCGTGCACTCCTTGATTCCTTGTCCGGATTTGTATATACATTATGTCCTTTATGGTTTGGTCAGCACTTCAAAGCTTTTAATTTGTTTTGTATTTTATATTTCGGCCTCGAACATCACTTAATAGACACTAACTGTCCAAATGCGCATCTGGTGCAGTAAAATTGGTAATGTTTATGTTATTGCCCAGTTACAATTTCCATGTTTCTAAACTTTAATTGTTTAAAAATACATTGATAGATTTATAAACTTTCTTTCTGACTTAACAACTTAAATAAGCTCTTTAGTCTCTTTTGCGCATTTCATATATAAAGTATTAGTATATATATTTATTAGGTATAGATTAATATACTAGTATTTACCAATTTATTAATGATTTTTGTTTGTTTTCTTTCATTTGAAACATACTTGTTACCTGTTAATTGTGTGACATCCGAGTTAAAGTAAATAAAAGGTGATATTATGTATGCACCAATTAGATGGCAATAGAAAAAACAGAAAACAAACGACATAAGGGGGTCAAAATACGGTCTTGGATAATAAAAAGGCGTTTTAAAAAGATGTCAAGCTCTTAATCGCCAATATCTAGATAAATATGTTAATACTACTTCTATGTATTTATATCTCGATTAGTGGAGTAATATAAGAGAGGCGAAATATACCAAAATGATATTCAATATCATGTCGAAAACAAACCGACGATGATATGTCAAAAAAAGGAAAAGTCAAACAACACTACATAAAACACTACATAGAAAAATAAAGACTGAGCAACCCTACCAAAAACCGGGGATGATCTCAGGTGCTCCGGAAGATACTTAGACGAACACACAATCAAAATCAATTCTGAAAAGTTACTTAATTTTATAATATTGGTACTGCAAACG